CTAATGCCAAAACTTCCCAAAAACCCCCTCCTCAGCCCCCTGGATAATACTTTTAGTAACCTCCTCCAAATCTCCAAGCTATGAATTTCTGCATAATATTTTCACCACATATTGCCCTCAGACATCTCCACTGCAACATTCACAACCCATGCTTCACACCCATATAAGAGCATGATACTGCTATACTCTCATACATTCCCCTTTTTGCTTCCAAGGATGATGCTCTTTGTCTCCACAGGAAAAATATGTTAGAAAATTCTAGTCCTTCTGGAATGTCATATCTTGCAAAAGGAAACTCCAGTATTTAATGAAGTATTCAAGTGTTGAGTAAAAGGTACCCATGTACCTAATAATGTTAACTAAAAAACTCCCATTGAAAATTCTATAATACTTTTGCATTTCCAGACATCATGGGTGCCTCAGGAGTGTAACTCCTGTGACTGAGATTTCACTCTGTGCCAAAAAGTACTCATTTACTCCCACTTTTTTGAAAACTCACTATTCAGGTGCCAGCTTGGAGGAGATTAGTGACACAAGTAGTACTGCTGCATCTCTGAAGTTACCATCTTGATACATCATGTGAAATTCTCTGTATTTACCTGTTTTTGTGATTTAAAAAATTCAAATTAATGATATGCTGGTGTTTATAAGTAAAATTCCTTAAAATGCCCAACAGTAATTAGCATCTCAGGAAGATGCAAACACTGATTACAACAACTAGATTTGGGTAATGATTTTCATAGAATGATAAATAAGAACTTAGATTGGAATAAAATTCATATTGTTATAATGTACGTATTGTAAACAGGCCAGTTTTGTAAAGCCATAAAATGTGTGAAAGTACTGGACAAACTAGCCTGAAATGCAGACTTCACCATTAAAAGTGTGCAAATACTGTATATGTACACTTTTTTTTATGCTACCTAAACTTAAATTTTTTTTAGCACTTATCTACTTGCTAAAGAACTGAGTAAGTTTTTAAATTTGTCAATAGATATTATTTCATGTTATCGCTACCATATACTATATTCATACATTATTGTCCCAAATACAAACCTAGGAATGTGAGTGTGTCAGAGAGAAGCATGGCTGGTCCAAGGTCATCCAACAGCTGGGAAGACTCGAATCTGCCTTCTACTACGTACTTCTGTAGTATCTGGAGACATTAACATGCATGGTTTTTAAAGGCTAATCTCTAATCTCTGGAAAATTATATCTAATGTTAATTAGGTACATTTAATACAAGAGAAAAATTGATACTAAACCTTTATGACAGAAAGATGATTGAAATTAAGTGAAATACATACTTACTTGGTATTCAATTTAGTAATTTATACAGGAGAAGGGGTTACTAGTCCCTTGTTCCTGACACTAAATGCCTTCTACAACATGTATGGCTTATGGAGAAAAGATTCTTCTCTACTTCCCCATGGAGACGTAAGGAAATTGTGTCAGAATAAGAACTGAAGAAATAAAAAAAAAATCAGATGAATGTGTATACACATACATATTTATGCACACCTGCGTGTACATGTATACGTAGTAATAGCAAGATGTACCTGTTATCTAATTTTTTTTTTTAACACACCAGCCATATCCCAATGAGGTAGGGTGACATAACAAGAAAAATGAAAGTTCTTTTTAAATTTAGTAATTTATACATGAGATGGGGTTACTAGCCTCCTGCTCCAGGCATTTTAATTGCCTCTTACGGCATGCGTGGCTCAGAGGAAGAATTCTGTTCCACGTCCCCATGGAGATAAAAGGAAATAAAAACAAAAACTATTAAGAACACAGAAGAAAACCCAGATGGGTATGTATATACAGGAGGGCCCCGCTTTATGGCGTTTCGCTTTACGGCGTTCCGCTAATACGGACATTTCAAATTATGACCAAAACTCGCTATACGGCTCCCCCCACCTGTCTTTCTAATACGGTCACAGCGGCCCACCGCGTTTGTTTACATTCTCCCTGAGCACATCTCCTTATTATGTCTGGAAACTTTCCAAAATTTCAAGTGTTTTAAAGTTATTTTATATTTTATATGTATTGTACTTGATAATTAAACTTGTGTACACCTGTACCTAAATAAACTTACACACTGTGCTGGCATGTAGGTACACATTAAAATCACTAAGAGTCTCTCTACTCTTGATGCAATTAATAAATAATAATAATAATAATAATATAATAATAAATAATAATAATATATAATAATCTCTTGGGCGCATTAATGTCGCATATTACGTTAATATAGACATTTCCCTTAATCTATCTATGATTTTTTTTCAAAATTATATAAGAAACACATTATGTAACACACAAACATGATACATGCACCCACAGTATAAAAATTTATACAAATATATACGAGATGTTTACCAAACGGTTTGTAGAAGTGTCGGAAGAATTACGTTTTCTCTAGCCCGTCACCTGTTACTAGGGATAACTGTAGAAAAATATTCCTTTCGTATGCCTTCACTTTATAGCTATAATTCTGTACTAACTTGTACACAGTGTAAGAGTATTTGTTTCGTGATTTAATTATTATAATAATAATAAAAATATTATAAGGTAAAAGTTTCACAAACTCTTACAAATGTACATGAATGAACTAAAACTGGACACGTATTAATACCGTCTATTTCGCCTGACCGAGTGATCGTCCACAACCTGTTCAGTTTGTTTACGCTGTCTGAGCTCGGTGTATCATTAAATGTTGTATATTACGTTAATATACACATTTTCATTAATCCATCCGTGATTTTTTTTTCAAAATTATATAATAACACGATACATAAACATAAATACATAACAACATATGTGTAGAGAACCTAGGATAACCCAAAAAAGTCAGAGTGACTTACTTCCATTGCCTTCACTCAGAGAATCATTTCTTCTCAAAATGATGTTACACGAGAATGGGAGTGTTCTTCTTTATTTATTCTACCGTATCAATGTAGAGACAACCTGTACACAATGTAACTTGTACACAAACCAGACGTGTACACTGTTTACAAAACTTACCTTCGCCTGGTTTGTTTACATAACTCTGCTGTCCTCTCTCATGCACTCATTCTTTCTCTCTGGTATGGTAGCCTGGCTGACCACACTTGATATTTTACAATAAATACTACTCATCTCACCCTATATTTTAAGGTAAGTAATGAGTGAACTGTATATACATTTTATCGCTCTGGGATGCTTAAATATCATAGAATAGTATGTGTGGGTGGGGTGGCCTGGTATGGTAGCCTGGCTGACACTACATACCACACTTGATTTCTTACAATAAATACTACTTGTCTCACCCTAGATTAAGACTATAAATATTTTAAGGTAAGTAATGAGTGCACTGTGTGTGCATTGTACTTTTTTATTGTTTTTTGATGCCTGGTTCTATTGCTAACATAATATATGTTAGTGTAAACTTGTTATCTAGTGTTTGTATGCATTTGTAAGTGGAAAAAAAGGGTGTTCCACTTTACGGCGGTTTCCGCTTTACGGCGGTAGCCTGGAACCTAACCCGCCGTATAAGTGGGGCCCTCCTGTATGTGCATGTATATGCATGTGTTGTGTGACCTATGTCTAAGCAGAAGTAGTAAGACATACCTGGTATCCAGCACGTTTATGAGACAGAAAAAAAAAAAACACCAGCAATCCTACAATTGCTTGGAGATTAGATGTAGGGTTACCGAAAATGGGTTGGACATACAGAGAGGATGAAACACAACATGATGACTAGAAGGGCATATAAATATGGGAAAGAGTGAGAGAGTAGTGAGGGTCATCCCAGGAAGGGTTGAAGGGAAGGGGCAAGGGAGGTTTTGAGTTTAGGGGTGTGGACATCCAGCAAGCTTGTGTGTGTTATAGGAGTGGAAGCCAATAGTTTTTATTATTTGGCTTGCTGCTGGAGTGTGAGAAGGGTAAGATTAATGAAGGGATTTAGGGAAACCAATTAGCCAAACATGAGTACTGGAGGCTATAAGTACAGTTGCAGTTTGAAAGGGTATCAGAGATGTGATGTTGGCACACTTTGGCAGGATAGCTATTTAATGAATGATGGTGAAAGTGCTACTTACTTTTGGGAGCACCCTACCTTGATGGGTTAAAAAAAATAAACATATTTGGTAATGAATTATAGAAATGAAAGGATAATAAGACGATATGAACTATTTAGGAGAATAGACACTATGGTGTATTACTGAGATATTTATAACAAGTGATATTTATCACTGAAATGAATTTGTGTGTTAATAAATTTCACTTTTTCATCAAACCACAATTATTGTTAGAAATAATCTCAAGGAAAAGCTTTGAGTAATACAGGAGTATTTTTCTCTTTCTTCTTCTTCTTCTTTCAACAAACTGGCCGTATCCCACCGAGGCAGGGTGGCCCAAAAAGAAAAACAAAAGTTTCTCTTTTCAAATTTAGTAATTTATACAGGAAAAGGGGTTACTAGCCCCTTGCTCCCGGCATTTTAGTCGCTTCTTACAACACGCATGGCTTACGGAGGAAGAATTCTGTTCCACTTCCCCATGGAGATAAGAGGAAATAAACAAGAACAAGAACTAGAAAAAAAATATCAGAAAACCCAGAGGGGTGTGTATATTTATGCTTGTACATGTATGTGTCCTAGGTAGTAGGTTGGTGAACAGCAACCGCCCAGGGAGGTACTACCGTCCTGCCAAGTGAGTGTACAATGAAAACCTGTAATTGTTTTACATGATGGTAGGATTGCTGGTGTCTTTTGTCTGTCTCATAAACATGCAAGATTTCAGGTATGTCTTGCTACTTCTACTTGCACTTAGGTCACACTACACATACATATACAAGCATATATATACACACCCCTCTGGGTATTCTTCTATTTTCTTTCTAGTTCTTGTTCTTGTTTATTTCCTCTTATCTCCATGGGGAAGTGGAACAGAATTCTTCCTCCGTAAGCCATGCGTGTTGTAAGAGGCGACTAAAATGCCGGGAGCAAGGGGCTAGTAACCCCTTCTCCCATATAAATTACTAAATTTAAAAGAGAAACTTTCGTTTTTCTTTTTGGGCCACCCTGCCTTGGTGGGATATGGCCGGTGTGTTGAAAGAAAGAAAGAGACATGTATGTGTACTGTGACCTAAGTGTAAGTAGAAGTAGCAAGATGTACCTGAAATCTTGCATGTTTATGAGACAGAAAAAAGACACCAGGAATCCTACCATCATGTAAAACAATTACAGGCTTTCGTTTTACAATCACTTGGCAGGACGGTAGTACCTCCCTGGGCGCTTGCTGTCTACCAACCTACTACCTAGAATTTTTCTCTTTACCTTTGTCTTTTACAATGGATAATCAAGTGCCAATTTCATGTTACCCAAAATTCACTCAGTGGCCACTTTATTAAATACACCTGTACACCTACTCGTTAATGTCTTATCAACCAATCACGTGGCAGTAACTCAATTCCTAAAAGCATGCAGACATGGTCAGGAGGTTCAGTTGTTCTTCAGCTGAACATCAGAAGGGGAAAGAAATGTGATCTAAGTGACTTTGACCGTGTAATGATTGTTAGTATCAGATGGGTCGTTTGAATATTTCAGAAACTGCTGATCTTGTGGGATTTTTCACACATGACAATTTCTATAGAGTTTACAGAGAATGGTGAAAAAAAGAAATCCAGTGATGGCAATTGTGTGGGCAAAAACATCTTATTAAAGAGAGATCAAAGAATGGCCAGAAAGGGGACAGTAACTCAAATAACAACACATTACAACAGTGGTAGGCATATCATCATCTCTGAATGCATAATATGTCAAACCATGAAGTGGATGGGCTACAGCAGCAGACCTCCACACTTGCCAGCTAAGAATAGCAAACTGAGGCACAGGTTTTCCAAAAGTGGACAGCTGAATTTTGGAAAAACATTGCTTGGCGTGACAAACTGTAATTTCTGCTGAGACATGCAGATTGAAGGGTCAGAGTTTGGGGAAAACATTTGGGATGTAGTGAATTGAAGATTTGCAGCATGAATGTGCAACTGACAAATCTCCAGCAAACATGTGATGCTATCAATCTCTAAGGAATGTTTCCAGAACCTTGCTGAATCCATGCTATGAAGACTTCAGGTTCTTCTGGGGGCAGAGGGGGCCTTATCCAGTACTAGAAGGGTGTACCTAACAAAGTGGCCACTGAGTTTATCTGGATACCCATTTTAGTATTAATTACAAAGAAAAAAAAAGTGGTTAATTCATGCAAAATATTTTGAAAATGTGTGGAACTGGAGATACACTTAAAATTGGAAAATAATGCACAAAAATTATAAGCTTGAAAAACGGAGGATGACAAATCGTTATAATACAGTACAATAAAGGAATTGAAGTAAACATCAGTCAGCATAATATACCTGGTGAGCAAGATGTGAAGTAAAGGCAGCATCACGTGATCGTACTCCCCACCAGATAGCAGAGCCTAAACGTCCTTGAGATAGTGCACGGCGACCCATTACCCGACACACACCAACAACTAAAAACAAAAATACAAAATACATTTCTCTACAATGTAACATAAAAACATTTTAAGCAGAAATTTTAAATTGAGAAATTATAGCATATTAGTGAGAAAAGTGCATGCCACCTCTCACTGAGGCAGAAAGGGAATTAGCTCTCTCCTGCAGAGAGGCTACTCCTTGTGTTTGACTACCTCACTGCTCTTCTTGAGTGAAATAATTATGAATAATACAGCATATGGGAAGAGTATTAAACCCATAGGGGTCATACAACACTAACAGGAATGGGAGGTATTCAGATTCAGTAAACTAATTGTCAAGAAATACTTGTGATTCAGTTGGGTCGTTCATTTGTCTCCTTGTATATACATACTTCCTAGTAAAGTCAGTCCTTATTAACCCTCTCAAGGCCAAGGAATTTAAAAAAAAGTTAATCTTATGAAATGATGGTGAATCTTTTTCTGAAATTAATAAAACCAAACGTACAAAATTTGATGAGAAACTTGCGGAATTATGCTCTCACATAGTTAGCTGTCTCAGTGATACTTATGCATCAGCAATTTTACCCAATTTGTGCCCTATTTTTGGCCAATTCCACTGTTCCATTCAACCAAACTCATTGCTATTTCACTAGTATTCCTTCTGTTCTATCGACTGAGTACAGCCTCTCCTCACTTAACAACGGAGTTCTGTTCCTAAGACCACGTAGGTAAACGAATTCATTGCTAAGCAAGGAGCATACTATAATGGTAGTGGGTCTGTCAACCATCTTTGATATTGTTTTAATTAATGTCACTCTTGCACCATTTATAACATTTTTAGTATATATTTAAATGTTTATACAGTAGTATACTGTAATAAACAGAATAAAGGAAATCAGCACTAATATACATTATTTAGGTATGCATACTGGTCAGACTACTGCAACTACTGTAATAATTGTATAAATAACATCAACCCATTCATGACTGCATATTAGAATGGCTAGTTGGACATTTATTGGACAATGGCATCATTTGTTTACTTTTGAACATTGGCAAAAATCAAACATTTCCCCTACTTTGAGCTCCATTTCTAGGTTCTTTTTATAGTAAAATCAATCAAAATCACCTCTATTTCTATAATATGTTTTCCATTCTATCAAATGAGACCACGAAAACGAGAATACAATCATAAATACTATACGAAAATAGACCATAAAGTCGGCATTTTAATTTAAAAAAACGGTCGGAGTTTTTTTTTCTCATTATGCACTGCGTGCTCCAGGATTTTTTTTATATGGTGCACACTGACCACACAGACCCATTCTCTCACATGTGGGCCTACCAGCTTTCTCCTGCTTGATTTGAAGCCGCTAGAATTTTTTTTTTTTTTTATTATCACACTGGCCGATTCCCACCAAGGCAGGGTGGCTCGAAAAAGAAAAACTTTCACCATCATTCACTCCATCACTGTCTTGCCAGAAGGGTGCTTTACACTACAGTTTTTAAACTGCAACATTAACACCCCTCCTTCAGAGTGCAGGCACTGTACTTCCCATCTCCAGAATTTATGAGTATATATACGTCAAACACGGTACCTCGTAAGACGTATATATACGGCCGCGACAGTCAAAGGGTTAAGGGTTAAAAAAACATTTCCTCTATTCCTCAGTCATGTCTCCAGGCCCTTCTTATATTACACTTGCTTTTCATATTGAATTTTTATTCACACAAAAAAGATAGAAAATTTACAGTTATGCCAACTACTGCATTATTGTAATAATTGTATAAATAATGTCAGTGCATTCCTAAATGTGTATTAGACTGGCCAGTTCGACAAATATTGTGCACTCTGGACTATCGGCAAAAATCGAACATTTCCAGTACTTTGAGCTCAATTTCAAGCTACTTTCAGTTCTGAAACCAATCAAAATCACCTCTGCTTCTGTAATATAACTTCCATTGTATCAAATGAGACCAAGAAACCGAGAATACAACCATAAAAACCATGTCACAAAGTCACTGTTTCAAACCAAAAATAAGGTCAGTTTTTTTTATTTCATTATGCACTGTGTGCTGCAGGATTTGTTTTTATATGGTGCACACTTACCATATATCTAGGCCCAAATTTACTGCTCACAGCTTATCTGAGTGAGATGAGCTCATGGCATAGTACTACAGGACCGACCCTGGCTTCAAAGCCATAGTACAACGGGACCGACACTGACAGGGCTAACCCTATTTAAGTTTGCTCATCATTAAAAATTCTAGATAATCAAATCCCCCAAATTAAGAAGCCTGTTAATTTGGGGGCTCAACTAAATTTGATGAAAGATTTATCAATATTCTCCATGAGGAAGTGGAGAGGAATCTTTCCTTCATAAGCCATGCAAATCATAAGGAGCAACTAAAATGACCGAAGGAAGGGGCTAGGAACCCCTTCTCCTGTATAGATTACTAAATGGAGACAAAAAAAAATTTTTTTTTTTTTTAGGTAATCCTGCCTTGGTGGGATATGGCCAGCTTACTGAAAAAAAAAAAAGTTTCATATTTTTCGGGTCACCCCACCTCAGTGACAGACAGCTGGGGTGTTAAGAAAAAATTGTAAATGTATTTCCTGTATTTATTTTCATATAGTCGGACTTGAGTCCTGGAAATGGGAAGTACAATGCCTGCACTTTAAAGGAGGGGTTTGGGATATTGGCAGTTTGGAGGGATATGTTGTGTATCTTTATACGTATATGCTTCTAAACTGTTGTATTCTGAGCACCTCTGCAAAAACAGTGATAATGTGCGAGTGTGGTGAAAGTGTTGAATGATGATGAAAGTATTTTCTTTTTGGGGATTTTCTTTCTTTTTTGGGTCACCCTGCCTCGGTGGGAGACGGCCGACTTGTTGAAAAAAAAAAAAAAAAAAAAAAAAAAAATTATAAAATGCCTCATTAGGGTACTGGTTAAAAAAATTTGAAGTTATTAATACGTGCTGTATTTTCATCTGTACAGCACAAAAGGCATTTTTGCTACAAGTAAAAATTTTCAGTATTCAAAATACAAAAACAATAGTATCTGAATTACCTGGGAAATAAATCAATATGTTCATCTACCCTGGAATTATAAAATAATATTGCAAGTGCACTTACCAACACTGTCAAAATTTCTATCACTGGCCATTTGTATAATTTTGTGTGCACGGGAATCGTCGGTGAGTGGGAGCCTTTGAAGCACCGTCTGTGACATGGCAATACCCGAGGGTCCAAGATGATCCAAGTATAAGATCCCAATCTGCCACAAGCTGCAGTGGCTGACTAAAACACTAACATAGTCCAGCAGAAGGGATTCTCGCAGCTCGGGCAAAAATCTGTTTTTCATATGGAGAAAACCTATTATTAATAGATGAGCGAGGAGGCTTTAGAGTGGGTAGGGGATGTGTAGATCAAATGTTTACATTGAAGCATATATGTGAACAGTATTTAGATAAAGGTAGGGAAGTTTTCATTGCATTTATGGATTTAGAAAAGGCATATGATAGAGTGGATAGAGGAGCAATGTGGCAGATGTTGCAAGTATATGGAATAGGTGGTAAGTTATTAAATGCTGTATAGAGTTTTTATGAGGATAGTGAGGCTCAGGTTAGGGTGTGTAGAAGAGAGGGAGACTACTTCCCGGTAAAAGTAGGTCTTAGACAGGGATGTGTAATGTCACCATGGTTGTTTAATATATTTATAGATGGGGTTGTAAAGGAAGTAAATGCTAGGGTGTTGGGGAGAGGGGGGGTGGGATTAAATTATGGGGAATCAAATTCAAAATGGAAATTGACACAGTTACTTTTTGCTGATGATACTGTGCTTATGGGAGATTCTAAAGAAAAATTGCAAAGGTTAGTGGATGAGTTTGGGAATGTGTGTAAAGGTAGAAAGTTGAAAGTGAACATAGAAAAGAGTAAGGTGATGAGGGTATCAAATGATTTAGATAAAGAAAAACTGGATATCAAATTGGGGAAGAGGAGTATGGAAGAAGTGAATGTATTCAGATACTTGGGAGTTGACGTGTCGGCGGATGGATTTATGAAGGATGAGGTTAATCATAGAATTGATGAGGGAAAAAAGGTGAGTGGTGCGTTGAGGTATATGTGGAGTCAAAAAACGTTATCTATGGAGGCAAAGAAGGGAATGTATGAAAGTATAGTAGTACCAACACTCTTATACGGGTGTGAAGCTTGGGTGGTAAATGCAGCAGCGAGGAGACGGTTGGAGGCAGTGGAGATGTCCTGTTTAAGGGCAATGTGTGGTGTAAATATTATGCAGAAAATTCGGAGTGTGGAAATTAGGAAAAGGTGTGGAGTTAATAAAAGTATTAGTCAGAGAGCAGAAGAGGGGTTGTTGAGGTGGTTTGGTCATTTAGACAGAATGGATCAAAGTAGAATGACATGGAAAGCATATAAATCTATAGGGGAAGGAAGGCGAGGTAGGGGTCGTCTTCGAAAGGGTTGGAGAGAGGGGGTAAAGGAGGTTTTGTGGGCAAGGGGCTTGGACTTCCAGCAAGCGTGCATGAGCGTGTTAGATAGGAGTGAATGGATACGAATGGTACTTGGGACCTGACGATCTGTTGGAGTGTTAGCAGGGTAATATTTAGTGAAGGGATTCAGGGAAACCGGTTATTTTCATATAGTCGGACTTGAGTCCTAGAAATGGGAAGTACAATGCCTGCACTTTAAAGGAGGGGTTTGGGATACTGGCAGTTTGGAGGGATATGTTGTGTATCTTTATATGTGTATGCTTCTAAACTGTTGTATTCTGAGCACCTCTGCAAAAACAGTGATAATGTGTGAGTGTGGTGAAAGTGTTGAATGATGATGAAAGTATTTTCTTTTTGGGGATTTTCTTTCTTTTTTGGGTCACCTTGCCTCGGTGGGAGACGGCCGACTTGTTGAAAAAAAAAATTTTTTTTTAACAAGTTGGCCGTCTCCCACCGAGGCAGGGTGACTCAAAAAGAAAGAAAATCCCCAAAAAGAAAATACTTTCATCATCATTCAACACTTTCACCTCACTCATACATAATCACTGTTTTTGCAGAGGTGCCCAGAACACAACAGTTTAGAAGCATATACATATAAAGATGCACAACATATCCCTCCAAACTGCCAACATTCCAAACCCTTCCTTTAAAATGCAGGTATATGTGGAGACAAAAAACGTTATCTATGGAGGCAAAGAAGGGAACGTATGAAAGTATAGTGGCACCAAGATTCTTATATGGGTGTGAAGCTTGGGTTGTAATTGCTGCAGCAAGGAGGTTGTTGGAGGTGGTGATGTCCTGTCTAAGGGCAATGTGTGGTGTATATATTATGCAGAGAATTCGGAGTGTGGAAATTAGGAGGTGTGGAGTTAATGAAAGTATTAGTCAGAGAGCAGAAGAGGGGTTGTTGAGGTGGTTTGGTCATTTAGAGAGAATGGATCAAAGTAGAATGACATGGAGAGCGTATAAATCTGTAGGGAAAGGAAGGTGGGGTAGGGGTTGTCCTCAAAAAGGTTGGAGGGAGGGGGTTAAGGTTTTGTGGGCGAGGGGCTTGAATTTCCAGCAAGAGTGCGTGAGTGCACTAGATAGAAGTGAATGGAGACAAATGGTATTTGGGACCTGATGAGCTGTTGGAGTGTAAGCAGGGTAATATTTAGTGCAGGGATTCAGGGAAACCGGTTATTTTTATATAGCAGGACTTGAGTACTGAAAATGGAAAGTACAATGCCTGCACTTTAAAGTAGGGGCTTTGGGATGTTGGCAGTTTGGAGGGATATGTTGTGTATATTTATACGTATATGCTTCTAAACTGTTGTATTCTGGGCACCTCTGCAAAAACAGTGATTATGTATGAGTGAGATGATGATGAAAGTATTTTCTTTTTGGGGATTTTCTTTCTTTTTGGGGATTTTCTTTCTTTTTGGGTCACCCTGCCTCGGTGGAAGATGGCCGACTTGTTGAAAAAAAAAATACTGAAATGAAATATTTTATGATTGCAATATTGATGCATTTATTTAGTTAGAAAAAGCATATAAATGGGAAGATAGGGAAGCAATGTGGTGGATGTTGCAAATGTTTGAAATAGGTAGTGCATTACTAAGAATGGTAGAGAGTTTTTATGTAGCAAAGGGTATTTAGCAAAGCAGGGACTATTTCCCAGTAAAAGTAGGCCTTAGACAAGGAATGTGTAATGCCACTGTGGCTATTTAACATATTTTTAGATAGGATTATAAAAGAAATGAATGGCAGGGTGTTGGGAAGAGGTGATGTATGGGATTACAACATAATGAATATGAAAGTTAAGACACATGTGCAACATCTGGATATCTTTATTGCAGACATTTCGCCATCCAGTGGCTTTATCAATACAGATTCTTGGACATAATTAGAAGACAGTAGAACTATATACAAAAGATGAGGTAATCAGCCCCTCAGCCTTGGATTTAGTGTTCACAGTATCGTGGTGGAGGAGAATCTGGAGCAAAGGCAAGAAGACTGGCGGTTATATAGTCGTCAGTGGATAAGGACATGTAACAGACGAGGGCATAGTCACTGGTAGGCGGGATTCCCCAGTGGAGGTAGGTCCTACCCAAAGGGATGGGTTAGTAGCAGCAGCCATGAAGAAGGTCTTGTAGATGTCCTCTGAACCAAGATTCCATGATGTTGCAGTGTCTGACAAGTTGTGCAAGAAACGTATAAAATACCGACAATATGAAAGTTAAGACACATGTGCAACATCTGGATATCTTTATTGTAAACGTTTCACCATCCAGTGGCTTTATCAATACAGATTCTTGGGCATGATTAGAAAACAGTAGAGCTATATACAAAAGATGAGGTAATCAGTCCCTCAGCCTTGGATTTAGTGTTCACAGCATCGTGGTGGAGGAGAATCTGGAGCAAAAGCAGAAAGACTGGCGGTTATATAGGCGTCAGTGGATAAAGACGTGTAGCAGACGAGGGCATAGTCACTGGTAGGCGGGATTCTCCAGTGGAAGTAGGTCCTACCCAAAGGGATGGGTTAGTAGTAGCAGCCATGAAGAAGGTCTTGTAGGGGAATCCTACCTACCAGTGACTATGCCCTCGTCTGCTACACGTCCTTATCCACTGATGCCTATATAACCGCCAGTCTTCTTGCCTTTGCTCCAGATTCTCCTCCACCACGATGCTGTGACACTAAATCCAAGGCTGAGGGACTGATTACCTCATCTTTTGTATATAGTTCTACTGTCTTCTAATTATGTCCAAGAATCTGTATTGATAAAGCCACCGGATGGCGAAACGTCTACAATAAAGATACCCAGATGTTGCACACGTCTTAACTTTCATGCTGTCGGTATTTTATACCTTTCTTGCACATGATGAATCTGATACAAAGTGGGAGTTATCACAGCTGTTCTTTACTGATAACACGCCTTTAGGGAGATTCCAAAATGAAACAGCAAAGGTTGGTGAAGGAATCTGAGAGGGTATATATATGAAAGAATGAAATTAAAAGTGAATATGGAAAGAAGCAATAGTGATGAGAGTAACAAAAAATGTACTGTGAATGACTGCATATCAAATTGGAAGGAAGGAGTATGGAGTGAGTACATGTATTCATACACAGGAGAACCCCTCTTTACAGTGTTTCGCTAATGCATCAGTTTTCAATTATACTCATTCTTCATATAATTAGACTTCCTACAATAAATATATTCACCGCTCACTATGAGATAAGGATGAAAATATTTTAAGGTAAGTAATGTGCAAACTATATATGCATTTTTTTAGGCCTTGATCTATTTCTCACTTAATATTTGACAGTGTAAACATGTTATCAGGATTTTATATGCATTTGAAAGTGAAAAAAAGGCTATGGTTCACTTTACAGTGGCAGCTGGGAACTTAACCTGCTGTATAAGCAGGACCCTCCTGTATTTGGGAGTGAACATGTCGGCAGATGGGTCCATGAAAGACGAGGTAAGCCATTGATAAAACAGGTAGATTTTAGAAAGAAAGAAGTTTAACTGTGGAGGCACAGGGAATTTACCAAAGCATAGTGGTGTCAATGCTTCTACTTTACATGGGAGTAAGGCAGGGATTTTAAACACTGAAGTGAGAGAGAGGCTGGAGGCAGTGGATATGTCATGTTGGAGAGCAATGTTTGGTGTGTGAATATTATGCAAAGAATTTGAAAAATAGAAATTAAAAGATGGAGGGCTGAGGAGGGGTTGTTGAGGTGGTTTGGGCATTGAAAGGATGGAGCAGAATAGGATGATTAAAAGCCTGTACAAATCTGGAATGGAAGGAAGATGTAGGTCATGTCAAGAAGGGTTGGAGGGAGGGGGTAAAGGAGGTTTTGAGTGCTAGGGATCTGAGCATCCAACAGGCTTGTGTATTAGATACAAGTGAGTGAAGATGAGTGGGTTTTATGGCTTTATGTGCTGTTTGAGTATGAGCAAGGTTATATATGTGAAGAAATTCAGGGAAACTGGTTAACAAGACTCGAGTCCTGGAGTGGGACGCACAGTGCATGCACTCTGAAGGGGTTGGGATGTTACAGTTTGGAGGGTCATCTGAACTGGGAGGGCTGTACACTTTTGGTAAGATAGCTATTGAATGAGTGATGGTCAATGTGTTGACTTTTCAGGTTTCAGGTTACCCAACTTCAGTGGGAGATGGCCTGTGCACTAAAAAAAATCCCATTGCATTCAAGTAGGAAATTCTGTGATATTATATAGGGTAAATACGTACATGGCTCTTTAATATTTTGAAATTATACTGGCAAGTTTAATTGAAAAAATTTATGAGTAATATAAATAATTTAATTTGTTATTATTTAACTACATTTCTCTAAGTGAAACTTACTTTTGATCTGTTGTCTGCCCCATAGTATGACACAACAAATCAGTGACGTGGGCAGTAAACCAAGTATTGTCCAAGACTTGCTGGCATTCCTTGATTACCTAAAATACATAAATTTTATGAACAATGAATGAAGAAAATAAAAGATATTTTAATGTTTAAAATTATCTTATTCCAGTTGAAACAGCAACCGCCCAGGGAGGTACTACCGTCCTGCCAAGTGAGTGTAAAACGTAAGTCTGTAATTGTTTTACATGATGGTAAGATTGCTGGTGTCCTTTTTTCTGTCTCATAAACATGCAAGATTTCAGGTACGTCTTGCTACTTCTACTTACACTTAGGTCACACCACACATACATGTACAAGCATATATATACACACCCCTCTTGAGTTTTCTGTTATTTTCTTTCTAGTTCTTGTTCTTGTTTATTTCCTCTTATCTCCATGGGGAAGTGGAACAGAATTCTTCCTCTGTAAGCCATGCGTGTTGTAAGAGGTGACCAAAATGCCGGGAGCAAGGGGCTAGTAACCCCTTCTGTATAAATTACTAAATTTGAAAAGAGAAACTTTTGTTTTTCTTTTTGGGCCACCCTGCCTCGGTGGGATACGGCCGGTTTGTTAAAAAAAAAAAATTAATAATTATAATAATACGTATGTACTACTACTACTACTAATAATAATAATATGTTGTGTATCTTTATACGTATATGCTTCTAAACTGTTGTATTCTGGGCACCTCTGCAAAAGCAGTGATAATGTGTGAGTGTGGTGAAAGTGTTGAATGATGATGAAAGTATTTTCTTTTTGGGGATTTTCTTTCTTTTTTGGGTCACCCTGCCTCGGTGGGAGACGGCCGACTTGTTGAAAAAAAAAAAAAAAAAAAAAAAATAATAATAATATGTTATCATTTTAAGACATTTTTGTATTTTTTTTTTTCATATTTTTGTGCCAAATGCTTCAAAATAGAAATTGGTAACCCTCTGGGTGGCTGTAGGTACAGCTGCTACGGCCATGGCTATCTCAGTGCTAACCAGGAGTCAAAAGGAAGAGGTGGTGTGCTGCTTTGAGTGATCGTAGCAGACCCTTGGGATGCGTAATTTTGTCTTATATTGTACAAATTTACACAAAGAACCCGCACATAAAAGAGAGAAGCTTACGACGACGTTTCGGTCCGACTTGGACCATTGACAAAGTCACACTAACCAGAAGTGGAGTAGGACGGCTATATATAGGCAGGAAGAGGTGATGGTAGTAGTAGTAGTACAAGAATGGTATATAATACCGACAAGATGAAATTAAGACACATGCGCAACACCCGGGCATCCCTATCGTAGACGTTTCGTCATCCAGCCAGCCACTGGATGGCGAAACGTCTACGATAGGGATGCCCGGGTGTTGCGCATGTGTCTTAATTTCATCTTGTCAGTATTATATACCATTCTTGTACTACTACCATCACCTCTTCCTGCCTATATATAGCCGTCTTACTCCACTTCTGGTTAGTGTGACTTTGTCAATGGTCCAAGTCGGACCGAAACGGCGTCGTAAGTTTCTCTCTTTTATGTGCGGGTTATTTGTGTATCGTTCCAGTCACAGTATTGTGCCTTTTTTTGTTATTTGTACAAATTTCTTATACAATGACTCGCCAAAAGAGACATTATTTGCATACAATCAACAAGAAGTGATTAGAAACTATGAAAAATGCTAGAGAAACGAAGAAGGCAGCAGCACAGAGTGGGGCAGCTGGCTGCCGCCACCACCACTGTGTCCACAGTGATCATGTTTTCACCTATACATGTATATACATGTCTTGGCCACACCTGTGGTTACATGTGACAACTTCACCACTAATCATAGATAAACACAAGCTAGGTGTGGGGTTATGGACTGGGAAGATACTAGAATGAGAGAGCAAATGGTAGATGCCTTCTGCCGCTGCCAGTGTCACCATCACTTGCCATATTATGGCCTATTTTATTAATTCTAGAGTATATATCGTGTTTCTATGTTGTAAATATTGTTTATTATGTTGTATTAGATGAATTGTGATAGATAACTAAGCAGCAGAGTTGATATTAGCATTACTTTTTCATGCCTCCTGAGAGGCTGGAACAGATTAATTGCATTTCAATTAATTTAACCCTTTGAGGGTTTTGGTCGTACTAGTACGTCTTACGCGTAGGGGTTTTTGACGTACTAGTACGCATAAATTCTAGCGGCCTCAAATCTAGTGGGAGAAAGCTGGTAGGCCTTCATATGAAAGAATGGGTCTATTTGGTCAGTGTGCACAGTCTAAAAAAAATCCTGCAGCACACAGTGCATAATGAGAAAAAAAAAACTTTGACCATTTTTTTGGAATAAATCAGCGACTTTGCAGTGTATTTTCGTATGGTATTTATTGTTGTATTCTAGTTTTCTTGGTCTCATTTTATAGAATGGAAGACATATTACAGAAATTGAGATGATTTTGACTGGTTTTACAATGAAAGGTGCCTTGAAATTGAGCTCAAAGTAGCAGAAATGTTCGATTTTTACCAAACTTCAAAAGTAAACAAATCGTGCCAAGCATGTAATACACGTCAACTGGTGAGTCTAATATTCTTTCACAAGTGCACCAATAATATTTATACCATTTTTTACACTAATGCAGTAGTCTGCATAACAGTAAATCTTATATTTTTTGTGAGAATAAAAACTCAAAGTGGAAAGCAAAAGAACATAAGAGGGGCCTTGAGACGTGACTAATGACTAGAGGAAATGTCATTTTAGTGCCAGGAATGTCTTTCTTGTTTATTCTGGACCCTATTCGGAAATTGGCATCTTTTGAAATTTGTGTGAAATTGGCAAAATTGCTAAATTCTGACCACTGTACTGGATAGTTGAATTTCATAAATGGGTGGTTTCTTGCACCCATTCGATAGAAAAAACGGAGTTCTAGTGAAATATTCATGTTTTTTGTCGACTAGTACAGTGAAAAATGGGGCTCAAAGTGGGCAAAATCGCCGATGCGTAAACATCGCCGAGACCGCTAACTTTGCGAGAGCATAATTCCGTAAGTTTTCTATCAAATTTCAAACTTTTGGTGTCTTTATGATCGGGAAAAGATTCTCTATCTTTTCATAAGAGAAAATAATTTTTTTTTTTAAATTTGGCCGACCCTGAGAACGAGTTTCGGAGAGGGCCTGTCGACCCTCAAAGGGTTAAATGAGGATAATTGACCCAGCATACAAACAACTCAGGATACGATCAAGGTCACGGAATGGATTAAATTCGTAAGCCGAGGTTCCACTGTATAATTAAAATATACTCAATAGCTTGTGCTCAATATTAAAAAAAACTGAATGTTCTTGTTATTTTCTTTGTCAGGAAATGGCATACTGACATGACTCTCAGTTATACACTGACACATTGCAGTGATTCCTCCAGAGTCATCTTCTTTGTAGATTCGCTGGTATAATCACCAGGCCCGGGCCTTTTCCAAGTGGTGGCCCAGCCTTGGCTCCCTTTCGCTGGAGTGTCTCAGACTAATGTCTGCCATGGGAGGAGATACAAGTACTTCCTCATCTTCTGGGACTAGCTGTTCCCAGGCTTACCCCCACTCCTTGCCCCTATGGGGCTCAAGGGAGAAGTTAGGCACCTTGGGCTGCCACAAACCCCACCCACACTAGGCTCGAAGGGTGTGGCAGCTGCATAGCAGCAATGTCAGGAGGTGCAAAGGCAGCAAGCACTACAGGACCCTTTTCATGCCACACCCCAGCTTTGGGCATTAAGCCTGAGCACTGGGGAAGCTCAAGAATGCTTCATGCTGTGTGTGTTGCTGCTGCTACTACTTCCTTGTCCATTGCACTCTCTGTCCAGAGTCATCACTGTATGAAAATGGAACCACTCTTGGAATATAACTGAGGATCGATAATTCCGCTCCTATGGCTGGGGCTGAGTGATTTAAGTCTTTATGGCTGGTTCTTGGTGATCCTGGACAGCGATCCCAAACCTATAGCTGGGACTTGGTGATCCCGACCCAGAGGCTGGGGTCGGTGATCCTGGCTCTATGGCTGCGTTTGGTGATCCTGGCCCTATTGCTGGGGTTCAGTGATTCTGACCCTGTGGCTGGGGCTCAGTGATCCTGGCCCCATGGCAGGGGCTCAGTGACTCTGATCCTGTGATCGGCTCAGTGATATTGAAAACACAAGCTATGAAACTCAAGGCTTTTTGCTGTATCTCTATGAGGGGTAAAGATAAAAATATTTCTTTCATATTGACCCAATTATTATGAACCCACATAATTCATATTCATTCAGTATCCATTTCACTACCTTGCAATATGTATTGAAGAATCATAAAAGTATATCCTGTTATAAAAAATTGTACCTATCATTACAAATACAAATTTCTAGGATAAGACAAGAGAAGCATCACTGATAAACAACAAATACTGTAACTGAAAAGTAACTTTACTTGATGAATGTCTGCTTCCATAGCAGCAAGTAAGACATGATCCAATGGTGTTGTACTCTGTTCTCCACCTACACATGCAATAGCATCCTGTGCGGCACTGTGCAAACGGAAGAGCTTCACTGTAGGACAGGTGAACAGTAAGGTAGAGACCATTAGATGATACCAAGTGTCCATCAAGTCAATCAAGTTGTTAATAGTTTTCTGGTCTCCACAAAGTATCTGAAATGACAAATGAATTTAAGTGTTACTGAAGTCTCCATTTTAAATTAGAATGACATAAAGTTAATTTAAAAACTTCAGCTCAGTTTATCACTGGTATCTAATTTTTCCACCAAAATTAGGTGGACACAGCAGAACGAGGCCATTCACTGTACTGAGGACTATCTTCATCTTAAATACCTTCATTTTTTAACACACTGACCCTTTCTCACTGAGGCAGCGTGACCCGAAAAGAAACACTTTCATTATCACTCCATCACTGTCTTACCAGAGGCCTGCCAATACTGCAGTATTGGTATGTATCTCTTATATTCATATTTACAAGAATCCAAACTAAACCTACAAATGCTCTGCAACATTGTGACTGATAAAGAACAAAAAACATGAGACTGATAAGGAACAGAATAGAGAACGAGAGACTAATGAGGAACGGAATAAAAATCGAAAGACTAATTAGGAACACAATAAAGGGCACGAGATTGATGAGGAACAGAATAGATCGAGAGACTGATTAAGAACAGAATCCAGAGACTGGTAAAGAGGAGAGTAGAGTGAATGTGTGGTGTGCCTCAAGTAAATAACAGAGATAAATGTAGTATTCCTAGGTAGTAGGTTGGTAGACTGCAACTGCCCAGGGAGGTACTACCGTCCTGCCAAGTGAGTGTAAAATGAAAGCCTGTAATTGTTTTACATAATGGTAGGATTGCTGGTGTTTTTTGTCTGTCTCATACACATGCAAGATTTCATGTATGTCTTGCTACTTCTACTTACACTTAGGTCACACTACACATACATGTACAAGCATATGTATATACACCCCTCTGGGTTTTCTTCTATTCAGGTTCCTTGACATTGGTGAGGGGCTCTTGCTCTTGATCTCAGGAATTGTATCTCATTTGTATGTTGGACTATCTTATTGAAACTTGGGCAATGTATGATGGAAAGAGGCTTCTTAACGTACACCAAAAATGAAAGAAATCTATGTACACCTACCATCCGGCTTACGACCTGCTCGACTTACGACCACTCGGCTTACGACCGTGTATTTTATGCCAAATTTCTGGGAAATAAACAACTATTTGTGTTGTACACAGTGTTTATCCTAAACCTTACAGTATAAAATACAGTACTTACAGGATAAAAAGTAAAGTAAAACATGAAATGCCAAAATAAAACAATAAAATAAAGTCATTACAAAAATGTTTTGTTGATATTCAGTAGTAAAGTTCGACTTACGACCATTTCGACTTACGACCAGTTTCTCGGAACTGAACTCGGTCGTAAGTCGGATGGTAAGTGTATAAATAATGGAGTTCACTTCTCAGCAATTAGCTACCCCTTAGGGTATTTTCGTATGGTTTTTATGGTTGTATTCTCGTTTTTTTGGTCTCATTTGATAGAATGGAAGATATATTACAGAAATAGACATGATTTTGATTGCTTTCACGACGAAAAGTACCTTGAAATTGAGCTCAACGTATGAGAAATGGTCCATTGCTTGGCTATGTTTCAGAGTAAACAAATGATGTCACTGTCCATTCCAATATACAGTCATGAATGGGTTGACATTATTTATACAATTATTGTAATAAGGAATAACAGTAAATCTTATATTTTTTGTGTGAATAAAAATTACAAATTACAGTGGACCCCCGCATAGCGAACTTAATCCGTGCAAGAGGGCTGGTCGTTATGCGAAATGTTCGCTATGCGAATTAATTTTCCCCATAAGAAATAATGGAAATAAAATTAATCCGTGCAAGACACCCAAAAGTATGAAAAAAAAATTTTTTTACCACAAAAAAATGTTAATTTTAGTACACACAAACTGAAAAAGGCATGCACAATTACATGACACTTACTTTTATTGAAGATCTGGTGATGATTGATGGGATGGGAGGAGGGGAGAGCATTATCTTCTTACTGTTTAGAAGGGGAATCCCCTTCCATTAGGACTTGAGGTAGCAAGTCCTTTTCTGGGGTTACTTCCCTTCTTCTTTTAATGCACTAGGACCAGCTTGAGAGTCACTGGACCTCTGTCGCACAACAAATCTGTCCATAGAGCTCTGTACCTCCCGTTCCTTCAAGACTTTCCTAAAATGGGCCATAACATTGTCATTGAAATAGTCACCAGCACGGCTTGCAACAGCTGTGTCAGGGTGATTTTCATCCATAAAGGTTTGCAGTTCAACCCACTGTGCACACATTTCCTTAATTTTTGAAGTAGGCACAATGGATTCCACAACTGGCATAGGCTTCTCAGGGTTAGCCCCAAACCCTTCAAAATCTTTCTTAATTTCCATACTAATTCTCACCCTTTTTACCACAGGGTTGGCACTAGAAGCTTTCTTGGGGCCCATGGTCACTTATTTTCCAGAAACAGCACCGAAAACACTGTAATAATACGAAATATTCCGAGTGTATGCTTGAATGTTACCGCGGAGGCTAGCTGGTAAACAATGGGACAGGCGGCACATGTGAGGCTGGCTGAGGGCCCACATTGGACGCGTCTCCGACGAAGTTCGCTGAGCGGGTTTTTGTCTACTATGCGGGGCAAAATTTCAGCGAACAAAGCGTTCGCTATGCGGATTGTTCGCTATGCAAGGCGTTCGCTATGCGGGGGTCCACTGTATTTATATAACAATAATAATAATATGTTGTGTATCTTTACATGTGTATGCTTCTAAACTGTTGTATTCTGAGCACCTCTGCAAAAACAGTGATAATGTATGAGTGTGGTGAAAGTGTTGAATGATGATGAAAGTATTTTCTTTTTGGGGATTTTCTTTCTTTTTTGGGTCACCCTGCCTCGGTGGGAGACGGCTGACTAGTTGAAAAAAAAAAAATAATAATATTGTAGGTAGTAGGTTGGTAGACAGCAACTGCCCAGGGAGGTACTACCATTGTGCCGAGTGAGTGTAAAATGAAAGCCTGTAATTGTTTTACATGATGGTAGGATTGCTGGTGTCCTTTTTTCTGCCTCATAAACATGCAAGGTTTCAGGTACGTCTTGCTACTTCTACTTACACTTAGGTCACACTACACATACATGTACAAGCATATCCCCGCCTCGGTGGGATACGGCTGGTATGTTGAAAGAAGAAGAAGAATATAATAATAATGTACTACCTATAATAATTATAATAATAGATGGCTTCAAAACGCCTTCACTAGATGGCAGTGTTTACCACAACAAAGAGGGAGCGGTTGTGGCCACCTCCACCTGTTACATTATGACATTTTTTATTCATTCTAGAGTATACATCAGGTTTCTATGTGATTTATATTGTTTATTATTTCATATTAGACGAACTGTGATAGATAAATAAGAAGTAGAGTTGATGATAGCGAAATATTCAGGGAGTATGTTGTCCTGTCTCCAGACAAATTCTCGTCGGCCGCTGACACCGCCCATACTACTATGTGAATGACATATTTTATTCATTCTAGAATATATATCAGGTTTCTATGTGATTTATATTGTTTGTTATGTCATATTAGATGAACTGTGATAGATAAATAAGCTGTATAGATGATATGAGTGAAATTATTGAAGAAGCATTTTGCCCGGTCGCCAGACAAACTCTCGTCCACCGCCGACACCGCCCATACCACAACATGAATGACATATTTTATTCATTTTAGAGTATATATCAGGTTTCTATGTTATTTATATTGTTTATTATGCCATAGAGTTGATATTAGCGAAATTATTGAAGTACGGAATTCCACTGGAACAGATTAATTGCATTTCAATTAATTTAAATTAGGAAAATTAATTCTGCAAACGTGCAAATCCGGTTGCGAGCAAGGTCTTGGAACAGATTAAACTTGCAAGTAGAGGTTCCACTGTAATTACTGTACAATAAAACTGAGCTAGATACAACTAGCTACTGAACTAGTGAAGATTTTGTTAATACTGTACTTAGTACAGTACAAAAACATAGAGGAACATTACAGCTGGCTAACTGGCTCATATTACTTACACCTAACTTCTTCTTTTCTTTCAACAAACTGGCCTTAGGCAGGGTGGCCTAAAAAGAAAAATGAAAGTTTCTCTTTTTAAATTTAGTAATTTATACAGGAGAAGGGGTTATTAGCCCCTTGCTCCTGGCATTTTAGTCACCTCTTACAACACGCATGGCTTACAGGGGAAGAATTTTGTTCTACTTCCCCATGGAGATAGCAGGAAATAAACAAGAACAAGAACTAGCAAGAAAATAGAAGAAAACCCAGAGGGGTGTGTATATTTTTTTTTTTAACAAACCGGCCATATCCCACCAAGCCAGGGTAGCCCAAAAAGAAAAACCGAAGTTTCTCTTTTTAAATTTAGTAATTTATACAGGAGAAGGGGTTACTAGGCCCATACTTCTGGCATTTTAGTCGCCTCTTACAACACACATGGCTTACGGAGGAAAAATTCTGTTCCACTTCCCCATGGAGTTAAGAGGAAATAAACAACAAGAACAAGAACTAGAAAGAAAATAGAAGAAAACCCTGAGGGGTTGTTGCAGCCCCCTACCAAACTAGCGGTTAAATGGTTAACCTGCCGGCCGGCAGTACCACTGGGTACGTCATCAAACCCATTGTGGGGACTGCTGAGCCGGCCTTAGAAGCAGTACGTACCTAAACACCTCACGGTACGCATCTAAGCAGTAGGTACCTGAACACCTAATGGTACACATCTACTGGCTTTAGAAGCAGTATGTACCTGAACACCTCACCGTACGCATCTAAGCAGTAGGTACCTGAACACCTAATGGTACACATCTACTGGCTTTAGAAGCAGTAAGTACCTGAACACCTCACAGTACACATCTACTGGCTTTAGAAGTAGTAAGTACCTGAACACCTCACGGTACGCATCTACGTAGTAGGTACCTGAACACCTAATGGTACATATCTACTGGCCTTAGAGCAGTATGTACCTGAACACCTCACGGTACACATCTAAGCAGTAGGTACCTGAACACCTTTGTAGATGAATGGTTCAGAGAACC